AAGTCAATTGCTGAGCTGCTTGCCAGGTTGCAGGGTCCTCCATGTAGGTATCCTGGGGCTGGTGGGTGCACAGAGGAAGGTTTTAGCTGGCTGCTCCAGACCCTTATTATTTCTAGTCTTGCTTGGCCAAGAGGGCTTCTGAGGTGCTCTTTAGGTCCCTGCTGTCTGGATCCAGGTCCCTCCTTTCTGGATCCCAGCAGCAGAGCACCCTGTGTAATGGTGCTAAGCCAGTGAGATCATCCCCTATGCCAAGCTGGGTGAATCGACACCTTTATGTGATCTGCACTTCCTTCTTCATGCCTTTCCACCCTCTTTGTTCCCATTAGTGTTTGCCCAGTGGGTTTATACCAGCAAGTCCCAGCCAGGTGTGCCTGGGGGTGTCTGTAGGCTGCCCACACCAGCTGGCCAGTGAGCAAACCCCTCTTCAGGGGCTGGGCTGGAAGGGAAGGGCTGTTTGCTGAGACTGTGCAGCAAAGAGTGAGCTAAAACAAGGTGAAGCCGGAGGCTGGCTGTGGGGTAAGCCCAGAAGCCAAGACATATTTGACCTGCTTTTGAAGCAATCCTGGAGGCACCTGAATCTTTGATCTGTGTTCGGCATCAAGAGCTGGTTGCTTTCCCCAGCCCCAGGCCAAATCCTGCTCACACTAGAGTCCGAGATGCCTTTAGGTGGGTCCAGCATCCCCCAGCACCCTCCTGTGTCTCAGATCCAGCCTCTTCCAGGTCTTGCTGGTCCCCGTGGTCCTGACTGGCTTCTCTCCCCACAGCAGAGGATGCGGAGTACATGATCATGCGCTGCATCTCACCATCCTCCGGCAACAGCGGCCTCCAGCCACGAGCTGGCACAAGCCTACCACCAGGTGAGCAGCCCCTGTCCAAGGCAAAGCAAGGGGGTGGGATGCCCAGACCTGGCTGATACAAAAGGATCTTTGTGATACGTCACCCGGCAAGGGCCTGAAGGTGCAGGGTGCTGGGAAAGGGTTTTGCTTTCTGTCCCAGGTCTTTTGCAAGCCCTTGGCACTGGGTAGATTGGACCCAGCCCTGGGAGAGGGGAGCTTAGCAGCACCCAGCACTTGGGGTGCCCCTACTAGATCCTCCTGCTGCTGGTGGAGCCCAGGGTCAGTGGAAGTGATGTGAACGCTCCTCCTCATGCCCTGCTTTCCCCTGCAGGATCCAGCTCCCCAGACCCGCCCCCTGCGGACACCCAGCACGCGCCTGGCGGGGTAAGAAGCCACACGAGAGCAGGAGCAGGGTGGAGATCACAGCTTTGTCCTCCTGCCCAGGACATGCAGCCCTGCCCACCACCCAGCATCAGCAGTGGGCGCTGCACTGTCCCCGAAGCTCCCCAGTGCCTCTGCTTCCAGGATGCCGGTCCCGGCAGAGCAGCACCCGAGCAGGATAGCCAGCAAGCTGGGGCGTGGGAGAGGGAGAGGGCGCTGTGGCCTGTCCCTGGTGGTCCCTGGTGGCAGACAGAGCAGAGCCAGGAGCGTGAGGAGCCCCAGGCCTGGTCAGGAATGTTCCCACGCCGCCTGCCAGGGCCTGCTGTGCACATGTCATTCCTCGGCATGGCCCCGAGGGCTGAGCATGGTCCCCAGCCTGACCCTAGTTCTCCGGGGGGTGGGAAGGGGGGCTGTGGAGCAGCTCATTTGCCTCTCCAACAGCATCACCGAGAGGAGGACATGGCTGCACCCATGACTGCAGGCCAGTGAATTGCCCTGGATCTGTAGCCCCTTCCCAGGCATCAGTGGTACAACCCCAGATAGACACTGGAATCCATCCCAAGGCCTCTGGGAGCACCACCTTGTGCCCCCTTGGCAGGCTTCCTGGGCACTGCTCCTCCCAGCATCCCATAGAGGTGGATGAATGGACTGGGAGCTGCCCAGAGAGGTCTCAAGCACCCCATGCCAGGTGAGCTATAGTCGGGGCATTGCAGTGTTTGACGGGGGCCTGTCGCCCTGTGAGAAGGGAGGCAGATTTCCTTGCATGCCACAGGTTGCAGCAGAGAGCACACTCGCCAGGTAGAGCACGGTCCCAGGCTGGGGGAAGGCCATGCTTACCCAGCACATGCTTCTGTCCCCACGCCATGCAAACGGTGCTCCCTGCCCCCAGCTCAGCCGCCTCTGCTTGCAGCAGCCCTGAAGCTGAGTAGCTGCCCTGTTTTCCAGGCTTCTCTTAATGTCAGTGTCCGGGCTGCACATACCACAGCAGTGACAGCGCTGGGCACGTAGCCAGCCTGGCTTCCAGCCCCCAAAGTGACCAGTACCTCTCATTTCCAAAGCTTTAGTAGCCCCTGCCCTGCTTCTGGAGCAATCAAACAAGTGCAATGAGTTCTTCAGTAGCCAGTTGCCCTTGCAGTTGGCACAGAGCTCACCAGAGTACAGCCAAGTGACCCGGGGGACGCAGGGTGAAATGCCAGGTGCTGATAGGGTTCAGCCTGGCGTTGGTGACTAGAGGAGCAATAGGCAACAGCTTCAGCCTGGCATTTTGTTTTGCAGTGAAGTGAACGGTGCACTTATCTGGTATGCACAGAGGAGGAGTAGCCCTGTTGCATGGTGGAAGGGACTCCTGTTGCATTGGATAGGGGGTATCAGATTGACTGCAGCTGGGGTCTGGGATATTACAGAGCACAAGGGGTGACCTGCCTCACTGGCAGCAGGGAAGGGGCATGTGCTGCACAAAGCACAGATCATTCCCTGGTGGGCTGCATGCCCTGTGCAGCCCAGCATGGAGAGGCTGGCATGTTGTGCTGCATTCAGCATGACACCCTGCCTCCCCAGTTGTGGTGTGTCCGGGTGACAACTGCCATGTTGTGCAAGCTGCAGGACACTGCTGTGTACGCTCATGGAAACGGGCTGGCAGGAGCTGTCGAGCTCCACTATGGCAGCAGCCCCTGCCAGGAGATGGGGCAAAGGGTTGCCTCTGCACAGAGCCATGCAGATGTGGGCCCTCAAGGAGGGGGTGCAGAGGGTGGGCACAGCCCTTGGGGACAGGGTTTGGCCATAAAGAGAGCAGCTGCCCATGGCAGGTTGCTGATGAGTTCAGGAGCGGGTCATTTGGTAGCCAGAGGCAGAGGAGGGTGTTGGGGTTTCTAGACCGGTTCATTTGGTAGCCAGAGGCAGAGCAGGTTGTTGAGCTTACTAGAGGTCATTTTAGGGGTATTGCAGGCACTAGGGGAGCAGAAACCCAAACCACGGGCATCATAGCCTTTCTGGTCTCAGTCTCCTTCAGATGCCAGACTGGGAATTGGCAGCACGCTGGGGGCAGGACCAGGCTGCTCCATGCTGGGGAGAGCCCTGCCCTGCCCACTGCACAGACTGCTGTCAATGGGCCTGGATTGGTGCAGGGCAAGGAGAGGGTGTCTGCCCTGCAAGCCTGCAGAGGGTGGGCACCTGCCCAACAGCACTGCACTGATTCTCTCTTCTCCCCCTAGGTGAACACAGCAGGCATCCTGCCCTACCTTCAGAGCCTGCCCACGGATGACTCCTATGAGGAGGCAGAGCCCATCAGCCCTGGGGGAAACCTCAGCTCAGGTAACCAACTCCCTTCCACCTGCTCTCTTGGGATGCCATGGGGAGCACAGGAGCTGCTGCACTACAGGCATGCCAGCTGCAGCATCTCTCTGCCTCCCACGTGGGCTGCACGGTCATGGCCCTTGGTGCACCAGGGCTCAGCCGGCCCCTCTGCCTGGCTTTCAGCCAGGCCGCAGCTGGGCATGGCTCCCAAATCCCACCTTCCTGGCACCGACCTGGGCATGACTCCCAAATCCCACCTTCCTGGCACCGAGCGCACTGCACTGACCACCCCCCAGCTCCAGCCTCCTCCCTTTGCTCTCCACAGCGGGCGGCGCAGACACAGACAGCAGCCACTATGAGTCGTACGGGGAGGATGAGGACTGCATGAAAGACCGGGCGCATTACATCCAGTGGCCACCCACTGCCAGCCTCGGGGAGGCCCCTAAACGCCCCGAGGCCCAGCTCTGCGCGGCTTCCTCTGGAGGAAGCGGTGGCTCGGCCAGTGGGCCAAGCAGCTCTTCATCATCCGGGAGCACACGCTGCTGGTGAGCATCAGGCAGGGGCAGGCGGAGGCAGGGCTGCCCTGGGGGCAAGCCCAGGCCCT